TCTTCATTGTTTCTCGGAAATACCGTATAAGAAAAACCTAGATAAATTCTTGGAAATATTTTGACATTCAAAAGTTAAAAGTTCATGGAAGAATGTCGTGTTGATTTTCTGAACGCGTCTCCTCATTCAATACGACGCTTAAATGGAGAGAGTGATACACACATAAAAATACAATGTCACGCAGATCACGTACATGTTTACGTATATATATATATATATATATATATATATATATATATATATATATATATATACATATATATATTATAGATATATTAACGTAGACATGTAAAATTGATACAAACTCATTCGTATTATCTTATAAATATCTCTTGAATGAAACATCGTATAAATATGTGAAATGAAAAATGAATCGTTTTAAAAGGAAATAATTACTTTACAAGAATCAGGATAAAAGGAATAACTTTACGAGGATCTATCCTCGTTTCAATATTTTTTCAAATATTATACACACACACACACACACATGTATATATATATATATATAAAATTACAAGATATTATTTTATCAAAGAGATATGAACGACGAATGAAATAGTTACACATATCGTTCTAAAATCGTATCTTACGCAATTAATAATTGTTGTTCTCATTTGTTATGATGTATAGATAAGAATAATTGCTACGAATATCGTATGTTTTTTTCTTCGTCTAATTACATTCCATAGAAAATGGATTATAAATTATTTTCTTAAAAAAGGGAAAAAAGAAACAAGCAAAAGAAAAAAAAAAAAAGAAAAAAGAAAAAAGAAAACAAGAAAAGAGAAGAAAAAAAAAGCATATCAAAGATCAAAAATTTCAAATAGATAAGGAAGCATGCTGCATTTTAATTTTATATAACATCCACGTGTGCGTGTCTACGTTACCTTTTTTGTTTTTTTCATTTTCTTTTTTTTCTTCTTCCTTCCTTATCGAATTTCTACGTAATTCATCGATAGATCTCTTAGATTAAAATGAAAGTAATACTGGGATCTATGTAAGGGTTTTTGATCGATGCATGCGGCAAACGTTTATACGTTTTCGCGAAACGTTAATGTCCCTAATAAATCGTCGGTGGTATATCGCGTTCCCTTTTAACGTTAAAGATTAATGTTAAGAATATATCTCCGTTGGTGTCGCGCTTACCCAGACCGAGAAGCTTCGTCTTCCTCGTAATATCCCGTGGGATAGGAAAGTAAATCACGTCGATGGGTGAGGATCGCGTGCGAGAGCACGGTTAGGCTATCCCCGGGCGGCTTGAGCTACCGTGCATCGCTATCGGGGCCTTAATGCCCCGATTAAAGTCCTTCTGAAGTTACTAGAAAGCCTCTTTTATCGACAGTCATTGCACCAAGAGATATTAGTTTTACTATTTAAAGTATTATATACGAACCTTTTTTTTTTTTTTTTTTTTTTTTTTGTTGACAATATATATAATATAACAATAAATATATATGTAATATAATAATAAAAATATATATAATATAATAATGAAAATTGAGAATTTTGTGTTTGTATATACGTGAAAATTATTAAAAAGTTTTCTTTTTTTATATATAAAATATTAGTACAATATTTTATATACAAATAAAGAGAAAACCACGATTTGATAATTGAACTTTTAATATTTTCAATTAAATTTATCAATTAAAATTGTATTATAAAATTATTATTGGATAGAACTGTCAGTAATATGATAAGACTCATCGTATTATCTTAACATTAAAGCGTGAATGAATCGAAGATGAATTTTAATCGAGTTTATCTCTCTCTCTCTCTCTTTTTTTTCCTCTTCTTCCTTTCTTCCTTTCTTTTCCCTTTTTTTCTTGTTTTTATTTCTTAAGTGTTGTATCATTCTCTCTCTCTCTCTCTCTCTCTCTCTCTCTCTCTTTCTCTCTTTTTCATCGATAGGCGGAACTTAATGTCCATTTACTAGACCGTTACGAGAAGATAGGCGCAGCATCGGCTTTATAATCGCGAACTCGTCTTGCCTTTCTCCTTCGCGAAATTGCGTTTTAATTATTAGTCATCGCATTAACCCTAGCGATCCCGTGGGCACGCACGCAGGTGCGTGTAAAAGCGCGCGCGTGCCCCTCATCGGCGTAGGCGTGAGCAAAGTTTACTTTTCAAAAATACTTACTCTTTTTTTTCTTTTCTTCTTTTTCGTTTTTTCTTTTTTTTCTTTTTTTTTTTTTTTTTTTTTTTTATCGCGGTTAAAGATTTCTCTCAAAGAGACGGAGCTTTCGTCGTGATTTTAAATTAAATAATCGTCAATCGTGCTGATCTTTCTTCTCTCTCTCTCTCTCTCTCTCTCTCTCTCTCTCTCTCTCTCTCTTTCTCTTTCTCTCTCTTTCTCTTTCTCTTTCTCTCTCTCTCTCTTTCTCTCTATCCGTCTTTTTCTTTCTCTTTTCCTTTTTATATTTAACAGTTGCAGTAGGAAAGCGTGAGAATGCTCGAGAGAGTGGAAATTTCTATTTCGATGACGTCCGAAGAAAGATTTTCGCTAAGTACAATGAATTACGACTCGTTAAATTTACGATCGCTTTTTTATTGGCTTTTCGCGTTCGCCGTTTGCCGTTATACTATTGGATTGTTGGTGTTGAGAATAACGCGTAAAAGGGAGAAAGGAAAAGGTGAAAGAAAGAAAGAAAGAGAGAGAGAGAGAGAGAGAGAGAGAGAGAAAAGTGCGAATAAATTCTAAACGAAACGTTTCCGTCTAACAAGTAGTAGTCGGTCGATCGGTCTCTGTCCTATAAAAATTCTTTCAAATGTTACAACGATTTAAATTCATTTCCATTCCATTCCTTTGCTCTACTAGATACATAACATTTATATGTATATCGAAAAGTTGGATAAATCTTTGATTCTCGATTGACGAAATGAAAACACAAATTATGATTAAGATTGAGATTAGATATTACAAACTTTATAAATCCGTATAAAGTATCATCGCATGTAATTCATTCGTTACGTCATTACTATCCCCCTCTTACGCCCCCCTTCTCTCGATTAACTTCGAGATACATTAAAAGCGATTAGAAACTATTAATTAGAAAAGAGAAAAAGAAAAAGAAAAGGAAAGAAAGAGAAATATATACGAAAACGAAAGTCGGAATAAGATCTGACGACAGAAAAAAAAAAAGGAGAAAAAAACGAGCACAAAAATAAAATAAAATAAAATAAATAAATAAAAGAATATGAAAAGATTAAAGAAAAAAAATTTCGAAATGTTTCAATCATTCGATGTATATTTCGTTTGACGAAATACACACATATACACATGCACACGTGGATATACGAACAGATATATATGTATACGTCCGTTTGCCGTAATCGTTAAGAAAATTTAAAAGAACGCGGAGGAACATCGTCGTCGCAGGACTATGGTGCGGCGGGGCCGAGGTATAAAGAAGCGACCGTCCGGTTTCTTGTCGGCAATTACACGATCATTGAATCCACTAACCGTCGCCTGTCTTAAACAGGTCGCCGATAAACGCCCACGCGATTGCGAGATCTCTTCGTGCGGAGCAACGTCGTCTCCTACTTCCGAGTCACGAGCCAAGGATAACACAACACAATTACAATTAAGTATGTGAGTACGTATCTCTCTTTCTCTCTCTCTCTCTCTCTCTCTCTCTCTCTCTCTCTCTCTCTCTTGTGTATGTGTGTGTGTGTGTGCATACACCTACATAACGATACGTGAAAATGATTCTTACCTTTTCTTTTACATATCTTATCTGAACATTTACCGAGATTGCAAAGGTAGATTATCTTCAATGAAGTATAAACATAAAGATCGCTTCTAATATATGCTTTTTCTACTTTTCTTTTCTTCTGCTTTTTTTCTTTTTTTCTTTTCTTTTCTTTTTCATAAGAAAAATTACAGACACTGTATTAGAAAGAAGGAATGAATTTTGCAATATATTTACAGCTAAATATGCAAATAAATTATATATTGTGTATCTGTATGTATGTGTGTATGTATGTGTTCCCTCTTTTAAGCATTACTTATTGAGAATGTCAATACACAGAGGAGATGATATTAATTTTTGAAGAGAAATATTAAATAATGAAATTTTTAAGAGAACGAAAAGTTGCGATGGAAATGGCAAATCGAATTGTTAAAAAGAAATACCAAAGAAGGCTCGGGAGACACCAACCATTTAAAGGGTGAAAAGAAAAGAAAAGAAAAATAAAAAGGAAAAAAAAAAAAAGAAAAAAGAAGAGAGGAATCTCTACGAGTTTGGGTCACGGTGGTCCGTGTCGATGCAAATGCAAATGAGATAATGTCGGTCCATATAGAGGGCGAGTATAGTGGATCGCATTAATCAAGCTGCACACCACACTCGAAATCACTCTTTTTTATAGGATGGTCACTTTTCGTATCCTCTTGCGTTCAGTCAGAATGCTGAAAGCTATTCGTTTAATTAATACTGTTTTTAACACTGTTTTACTTAAAAAGGGGACAAAAAAAACTCATTAAGTCGATTTGGAAAATTTTAGAATTCAATGAATACGTCAAATAGCAACATATTCAATGGAAATAATTTTTAACTGTATATCATACAAGTAAGGATACAAAGAGAGATTTCATAGAAAGAGACAAAGAGATAGAGAGAAAGAGAGAGAGAGAGAGAGAGAGAGAGAGAGAAAGATAAATAATGTTTAGTATTTAAATGACAACAGAGCTATACGTTTCCAAGAATTTCGTTAGTAAACATCGAGATATGAATGAACATTCGTTCGTACTAATTCAAGGGTAAGGCAAAATCACTTTAGTTGAAAAGAAGATTTCGTAGCGTATACATCTACGAGAATATATCTCTTAATAATCTCTTAATTATACATTTTATTTTATAATTATTTTATCGAGGACAATTCGAAATAATAAATAATAAGTTATAATAATATTAGATCAATTACTTTATCGTTATTTATTTAATATTATAATAAGTAGTAATTTATAAAAAAAAAAGTATAGTAATTTTTATTCTTTACAG